TTGGGTATGAGTTGGGCACCTCTCATGCTTCGAGTTGGGCACCTTTGATGCTTCGAGTTGGACACCTTTGATGCTTCGAGTTGGGCACCTTTGATGCTCGAGCTGGGCACCTCTCATGCTTCGAGTTGGGTATGAGTTGGGCACCTCTCATGCTTCGAGTTAGGCACCTTTGATGCTTCGAGTTGGGCACCTTTCGTGCTTCGACTTGGGCACCTTTGATGCTCGAGTTGGGCACCTCTCATGCCTCGAGTTGGGTATGAGTTGGGCACCTCTCATGCTTCGAGTTGGGCACCTTTGATGCTTCGAGTTGGGCACCTTTGATGCTTCGAGTTGGGCACCTTTGATGCTCGAGCTGGGCACCTCTCATGCTTCGAGTTGGGCACCTGTGATGCTTCGAGTTGGGCACCTTTGATGCTTCGAGTTGGGCACCTTTGATGCTCGAGCTGGGCACCTCTCATGCTTCGAGTTGGGCACCTCTCATGCCTCGAGTTGGGCACCTTTGATGTTTCGAGTCGGGCACCTCTCATGCTTCGAGTTGGGCACCTTTGATGCTTGGAGTTGGGCACCTTTGATGCTTCGAGTTGGGCACCTTTGATGCTCGAGCTGGGCACCTCTCATGCTTCGAGTTGGGCACCTTTGATGCTTCGAGTTGGGCACCTTTGATACTCGAGCTGGGCACCTAGCTCTCATGCCTCGAGTTGGGCACCTCTCATGCCTCGAGTTGGGCACCTTTGATGCTTCGAGTCGGGCACCTCTCATGCTTCGAGTTGGACACCTATGATGCTTGGAGTTGGGCACCTTTGATGCTTCGAGTTGGGCACCTTTGATGCTCGAGCTGGGCACCTCTCATGCTTCGAGTTGGGTATGGGTTGGGCACCTCTCATGCTTCGAGCTGGGCACCTTTGATGCTTCGAGTTGGGCACCTTTGATGCTCGAGCTGGGCACCTCTCATGCCTCGAGTTGGGCACCTCTCATGCCTCGAGTTGGGTACCTTTGATGATTCGAGTCGGGCACCTTTCATGCCTCGAGTTAGGCACCTCTCATGCCTCAAGTTGGGCACCTCTCATGCTTCGAGTTGGGCGCCTCTCATGCCTCGAGTTGGGCACCTTTGATGCTTCGAGTCGGGCACCTTTCATGCCTCGAGTTAGGCACCTCTCATGCGTCAAGTTGGGCACCTTTGATGCTTCGAGTTGGGCACCTCTCATGCTATGAGTTGGGCACCTCTCATGCCTCGAGTTGGGCACCTTTCATGCTTTGAGTTAAGCACCTGTCATGCATTGAGTTGGGCACCTCTCATGCCTCGAGTTGGGCGCCTCTCATGCCTCGAGTTGGGGACCTTTGATGCTTCGAGTTGGGCACCTCTCATGCTTCGACTTGGGCACCTTTGAAGCCTCGAGCTGGGCACCCACCTTTCATGCCTCGAGTTGGGCACCTCTCATGCCTCGAGTTGGTCACCTTTGATGCTTCGAGTTGGGCACCTTTGATGCTCGAGCTGGGCACCTCTCATGCCTCGAGTTGGGCGCCTCTCATGCCTCGAGTTCGGGACCTTTGATGCTTCGAGTTGGGCACCTCTCATGCTTCAACTTGGGCACCTTTGAAGCCTCGAGTTGGGCGCCTCTCATGCCTCGAGTTGGGGACCTTTGATGCTTCGAGTTGGGCACCTCTCATGCTTCGACTTGGGCACCTTTGAAGCCTCGAGCTGGGCACCCACCTTTGATGCCTCGAGTTGGGCACCTCTCATGCCTCGAGTTGGTCACCTGTCATGTTTTGAGTTGGGCGCGTTTGATGCCTCGAGTTGGGCACCTCTCATGCCTGGAGTTGGGCATCTAGCATGCCTCGGGTTATTGGGTTTCCTTGATGCCTCGAGTTGGACACCTCTGATGCCTGGAGTTGGTTTCCTGCCCGCAGTTGGGCACGTGATGCATCAATCTATATTTCTTTTTAGCCTTGAGTTGGGCACCTCTGATGCCTCTGGAGTTGCTTTCCTCTCCAGTTGGGCACCTTCGATGCTTCCACTCCCACTTCGGCACCTCGAGTTGGGCACCTGTCCTGCCTCCAGTTGGGCATCGTTGATGCCTGGAGTTGGGCATCTCTCATGCCTCGAGTTGGGCGCCTCTCATGCCTCGAGCTGGGGGCCTTTGATGCTTCGAGTTGGGCACCTCTCATGCGTGGACTTGGGCACCTTTGAAGCCTCGAGCTGGGCACCCGCCTTTGATGCCTCGAGTTGGGCACCTCTCATGCCTCGAGTTGGTCACCTTTGATGCTTCGAGTTGGGCACCTTTGATGCCTCGAGTTGGGCACCTCTCATGCCTGGAGTTGGGCATCTAGCATGCCTCGAGTTGGGTTTCCTTGATGCCTCGAGTTGGACACCTCTGATGCCTGGAGTTGGTTTCCTGCCCGCAGTTGGGCACCTGATGCATCAATCTATACTTCTTTTTAGCCTTGAGTTGGGCACCTCTGATGCCTCTGGAGTTAACTGCTTTCCTCTCCAGTCTAACCAGTGTCACCACTCGGTCTGCCCAGCGCCTTGCCGCTCCAGCTGTCACCGCACCTCCATACCGGAGGATCAAGGAGCCTTCCGAAAAGTGCAGCACTAACGCTGCACTGACGAGCAGCCAAAGCAGCTTTCACTGTCTGCTCTAACTTCTTCAGGTCGCAGTGGCCCGGTATTCCAACCTGCGACCACCGATACAAAATCCGAACGTGGGTGCGAACCTGATACAGCCCATACTCCTGATTCTACAAGCCTATGAAAATTGCAGAAAGATCAATAAAGACCAACAAAAGGAAAATGCAACATGCCAAATCATAGCTCCCACCTTGAAGTGCTTTGCTTTCGCTGCTTCTTTCATGAGAGGACCAGCGCATCAGCTCATCTTGGGCCAGAACTCTGAACACATGAAATCTAATGAAATCTAGAGTTTCAGCCATCAACAAAGGCCAGTTTGGTGGAGTAGTGGGCATTTGACCTTCAATTCAATTTCCTGCCAGCCAGTCCTTTCAACAACACCGTCAGGTGATTTCATGCTTTAAACCAAACACAGAGGGTCCAGAAAGTTTTCTGGAGTTTCCTGATTTTTCATGATGTCTGGCAGCGGGGACACCACCACGTTTACCAACATCCACGTTAGTTTTTTTATGACCCATGTCCGACCGCTTACGAATTGCACCTGATCCAGGAGCCCAGGACACCCCGGGCAGGACCGTTCGAGCATCAAAAGTCTCCCCGAAAAGGCGCGCAGCTTGTCCTCGCTGGCCATCCTTCGAAGCTCGGCAGGGTTTGAGATGAACCTGTGTTTTTTGGGATATATGGGTATGGGTCAATACCTATAGATACATTTTTAGTGGGATGAACATCCATTTACCAGCTATTTTGATGTTCACCAGGGGGATAGGGTTTTGACCCATCCCCATATTGCTATACAGAAGTATGTAATTAACCAGATCACTATGTCTTATGAGATATATTGGTCCCAGAACGAATGAATTATGAAATTTCATGAACATGTACCCCAAAAATTAGGTAAATATAGAATACATAGAGCAGACTGCAACAATATATCGCCATCAAAGCACCCAGCAACAATGGCAATGTTAGTCAATAACAAACATGACTTTGATTTCCAAGCACAATAATACCATACTGACTCCGGATCCAATAAGAAATATAGGGGCAAAAAAAATGAAATGAACACTCACCATTGTAGAAGGCATCCAAACTAGCTTCCATAGCAACAAACAAATAAAACAAGTAAGACACGAGATATCTAGTCCTCGTCTATGATAAAGGCAAAAGGAAGTGTCCTTGTTACAACTTGTTATCGATGATCAATAAGTTATTGTGAGTTACCCATATATGCTGTGGATCAAAATCATGTAAAATAACTATGAACTTTACAAAAAATGGTGTACACACACAAAAATGGCCAATGCTTTGGCTTTCTGGATATCCCATGTTTACAATTTCTAGAACTAGTTGAACTGTACTGGAATGACTTGGCGAAGAAGTTACCAATGGTGGAGAACCCGAAATCGGCCACTCCTTAAAATAAAGGAGGAACCTGCCAGTATCTTAGAGAATTGAAACGTCCGGCAGGCAATGAACGCCTGAACAAAAAATGCAGGTTTGCAGTGGCCTATATACGCCTAAACACTCACACTAAGGCGTGCCGATAGATTCACTTTCAAACATCATTATTTCCAGAGACTTCAAGACAGCAACAAGACTAACTTTCAAAATGCGAAAAGTATGCCAATTCCAATTTGGAAGTTTTGTTCACCCCAGCTGACCAGGCAAGTCAGTTCAATTATCTTCAAGGTTTTCACCCTACTCAGAACTCAAGGCCAGCCCTTCTATCACCATCTGAGCCGATGAAATTACAACTTGTGTGGCTGCATCGCTCCTTTGTATTGCTAAATAATTTTGTTTTTGTGCCGATTTTCCCATGTTGGGCCCAGTCTCAGGTGTACGAAAGAGTCCAGTGGAGCCTCCAAGCCTAGCTCCTTCAAACTGGGCATGGGAGTAGGACTAGTGACTAATGGTATATAAAGGAGAGCGGTTTGAGTATATCCTCAATATATCGCAGTAATGTGTGGGGTCGGAACCTGCGGTATACCTTATGACTTGACGATCAGTCGGAATTCTGTTCAGTGACTGTGACTTGACGATCAGTCGGAATTCTGTTCAACAACTGTGACTTTATGGTGAGCTCACCAGCCCAAAGTGGACCAAGCAGTAGTTAGTAGTTGGGACACTCAACAAATGATCTATAGCGATCTATATGAATGAAATATGACCCATCAATATGTAGTCTATATGGATACTCAATTGACCCAATTGAAGCCTGAAATCGCAAGTCATTCAGAATAGCTGGATGAAGCTTATTTGGGGGCCTTACTCATCAGGGATTTTTTTGACTCACTAAGCATGCCACGTCTACGGCTTCGGTGAACTGTCAGGAGAATATGCGGTACATGTTCATCCCACTTGTAACTTTCTAGTACCAAAGTGAGGCCCTCGAGATAGATAAGTTGGTGCAACTCACTCCAATAACTATGGTTTTATGATATATCATCTTATAACATCTTATAACATCTTATATATAACTATATAGTATAGTATTCATTGGGTTTATAAACCAACTTTTAACCGGGGGGCCAGATTGTAGTTACCGGTAACAGTTCGTCATTTCCCCCAGAACAGGGCCACCTCGGGCACTGAAGGATTCTCCTTCATTACAGAGGTATGGCTCCAAATCATTGACCCCCCTTCTTAAAATGGTATCATCTACCCTCTGGTAAACGTTTACATAGCTGTTGAAAATGGTGATTTAGTTCGTTGATTTACCCATTAAACATGGTGATTTTCCATAGCAAACTGTTAGTTTACCAGAGGGTATGGCTTATACAGCAAAACGGACCAAACTGACCACCTTCGGGAACCGCACCCATCTTGGATCGCCAGCTCCTCCATTCCCGGCTTCACCAGCTTTCGGCACAGCTGGGTCGCCTGTTCCACCGCCTGTTGCAGTTCCGCTGTCCAGAAACGTGGCTCTACCGAGCCCAACGTGCCCTCCTGGTGCTGCAGCTGGAAGCTATGAGTCTAAGGATCTGGGGGTTCACGGGTTTCACCAATCAAAAGTTAGGATTACACCAACATTACACCAACATTATCCAAAATTGGGAATTATAACACCTTCCAATCCTTAAGCCTGGAGAAGTTTACCACCTTGACACGTGACTGCGCATCCACTCCGTCCTTGGGCGGTTCCTCCGGTGGTAAAGCACCAGGTGCATAGCTGCCACAGAAGGTGGATTCCAGGATCACCCCCTGCACGTTGGACTCTGTAAAAGGTAACAAGTTTCACCAGGAAAAACACTGGTTGCCAAAATCATGATGGTTGTACTGATACTGTATATATCGGTTGGAATTAGATTTTTGCCAGCAAAAAAAATGCTTCGCCGCCATCAAAATTTCATTTACAAAAAAAATGAATTTTGAGTAGAAGTCACAGTTATCAGCAAAACTTGAAAAAACACCAGGACAGAGTGGGTTCTTTCAACTTAAAAATGGTTCATTAGTCGTGATCAGAAACATCATGAGTCCAGGCTACCACGGGTTTGCACACATTCAAATGATGGGCTACACTTCTGACCGCCATAAATGTAGCTGCATTTTGTTGTTCGGACAAATGACATCCCATACTTACAAGGTATGTACCGTGATATGAGTAGACTTATGCTTGGTATGTCCCACATTCCAAAAGACGAGTAGGCTTGTAAGACATTAGTATTTATGTAAATGTATGATGAGACCAAATGTGATATACATCTGTAGCATTGATTAAATGATATGAACTTATATGACATGATATGATACGCCAACATATCATATATACTATATTATATACAATATGATATAGAATATGAAACATATTATACATACGTTTATAATATATATATATATATACATAGACATTCTATGAATTAAGATAAACTAAGTCACCTTACCCTATTAATGTTGGTGGCCATAAAGCAACCGCTGCTCCATGATTCGAATGATCATCCAACTCTTTGGTCTGATCCTGGTCTAAGCACTTGCAATGGGCATGAAATACAATGGTCAAAAAAATGGGAAACATGAAGCAGTTCTGTATATATGTATATATATATGTTATATATATATATATATGTATATGGTTAATATTTATTATATATATATATATTTATATGTGTGTAATCGTAATATATATACATATACATACATATGGTTTGGAACACTGTTGAGGTGACAGAATCTCCCCGGAAGGAGGCTATTCTCTGTTGGGAAGCGGTGAGACCACACCAAAACCAGCAAATCACGGTTTGTTTTTTCCCAAAACCATTGTGATTTTCATAATCATACCATTATCTTAGTTGGTACTTCATGATAGTTCTTATTCACAATGGCCGGCGATGAGACAGTCTCTGGTAATTAAATCAGTGTTCCACTGACGAGATCAATGGAACAATCTTGTCTTTTTGTTGGTGGGTGGAAAACGACATGCGTTGAAAAGACTTTCTAGTTGGTATTTCCAACCCAGAAGACGAAGTACGGGGCAGGTACGATAGCAAGTTCATGCAGAATCATCATCGTTTACGGTATACACAAGTATAAACCAACATATAACAAACTGGACAACACTAACAATGACTCGGCAAACAAAAACAGTATACACAGGTTCAATCCACTTTTAGACACATCAGAAAATTGTCAGGAATATTTAAATCAACTGGGGGTTGCACCGAGTCTTACATTCATGTTCCCAAATAATGACAAATTTGAATTGCAATGTCCCAAACCAAGAACAAACCAATATAAACCAGTGATGTCAACTACCGATTGCCGTATAAAAATACGTAATTATTGTCAATTGTGTTCTTAGATGTTCTTAGATGTTCTTAGTACTAAATCTAGTCCCTAACCTTCGAAACCGGAATTCTGATCATTGGGGTTAATGAAGACAACCAAGGTGTCTGGCTGTATCAAAAATGTAGACCAAATTTTACATGCTTAAATCCAAATATGTCGTTTCTTCATAGCCACGTTAGTATGATTCATCCCTACTCTCTGATATCCATATGCTCCATGTATAGAATATTTACCAACATTTACAACCAAAATGACCCAGTCATGTAGGTAATATTCCATACATGGAGCATCTGGAATACTTAACATTGCCAACCAGCCACAACCGTTGTTGACTCGACCTCTTTTCGCCTCGAAAAGTCGCCCCTTCAGCGCCGCCAAATGGCATGCCACCAAGCCTGGTTTAAGGTTAAGGGATGAACAGAAGTTAACTGGATAAACCATGTTAAACCACCAAACGAAGTTAACCCACCAACAGAAGTTAACTATCATTCAGCATCAGTTGACCCACCAAAAAAATGAATTGACAATTGCGGATGATTCTTACCGGTACATCACTTGGATTTGCTTAAGGAATCCCCTATGCTAGTGGATTTCCCATAGTGAAAACAAAAATCATCTTCAGCAAATCCAGGATCAAGGGCTAGCCTATAAATTGCCTCTCACTTCCTTTATGGGACTTTGCCGGGAGCTACCAGGTATTTCATACACCCATCCTTAGTGGCACACCCCGTCACAAATGCCCAGAATAATACTCCGTTATTCGAGGAGGTTTGGGTTCCTTGACAAAAACATCCTCTTGGGATTTCACCTAAAGGGTTGAGGTGTCTGATTCTATAGGTACAAAATCAGGACCCCCAAGAAAAAAATGTTTTTTTCTATATATAATCAGGACCCCCAAGAAGAACTCAACTGTACAAAATCGAGGCCTCCAAGGTTCAGTTTGTGTGAAATTTTAAGTAAAAAAAGGGTCTACATTCTACATTGGGTAGGCTGGGTTGGCTACAGAATCAAGAGCCCCAAGCTTAAACATCAGAAATTTATGCAAATTTAAGTGAAACCAACCCACTTCTGTCTGACAATGTAGTTGAGACCTCGAAGTCTGTACAGCCTGATCTTTTTTTTGAAGGGGGTGCAGTCCCTGATTTTATAGTTCAAAAATTATGGTTGGTGAGGTTCGAGCTAGTGACTTTTGGGGGGTACAGTCCCTGATTATATAATGATACCAAGTATTACCAAACGGTTGCCTGATCATATTGTTTTGCACAAGACCCTAATTCTATACAGGACCCTGTCAGTGTTTGTTTTTAAGTGTTTTTTTTTTTAATTGCGCTTATCTATGATTTTCTTTGAATAAAAATCCAGCAAATTCCAAAAGAATCCATAAGATTCCAAAAAATCCAAAAGATTAAAATAAATATATTAAAATATTATATATAATTCTATAATATTCTATATATGTATACATCTGTGTAAAATCAAGACCCCCAAGCCTCACAGTGAAAAAATAGGAACAAGGGCTTGATTTTAGGGTGTATTTTAGCATAGTACAAAGATTGAACTCCAAGCCTTGCCTCGAGTCTAGCATAGAATGGAAATCAATATAAAATAAGAAACCCCAACACCATATGCATCAAGCTAGCCCTAGTATAAAACGTAGACCTCCAAGCTCGAGTTTGACACCCTGAGACCTGTATAGAATCACAACCCTCCCCAGTGGAACCCAACCACAGAGGGAAACCCCTGTATAAAATGAACCTGTTTTTGGAGCTCAACCCCCCTGATTTTGTACAGCTATATCCAAGGGGGATACAAAAACTATTCCAGTTGGTGCTGAGTGTTTGGAATAGTTTTGATCATTGGATTGGTTTAAGGGAAAATCTACAGGAAAGCCCCCATATTTAATGGAAAAATCCATGGTTTCCTGTAAATTTTTCCTTAAACCAATCCAATCATTTGAAGTTCAGTCTGTCTATGTAACAGAAAAAAACAACATTCGGATCACCTCCGAATCAACCACTGATTCATCATGTTCCCTATGAAAATGGCCACTGATTCATCATGTATTGCCATAACTGAAACACACACATGTATATATATATATATATTGCTGTTTTTACCACAGCACTCATAGGCGTTGACATGCCTATTCCGTGAAGTATTGGCTGAAAAGAGCCGCGGAGCGAGATTCATGAGGCGTTGATCACCCCTCCTTGTCCAATCGATTCCAGTGACTCTTCATATCCTACTTGAGCACTTCTACCGCTTGCACGGTAGCGGAGCCTGCCTACGGGCGGGCGTGAGACCAGGGACCTACAGCCTCCTACTGCGAGAGCCATAGGAGGAACAACATGGCGGAGAAGCAAAAAAGGATAGAGAAGACGCGAGAAGGAGTTCCCATTTGGGATGGAGATGCCGGAACATATCAGGAGTTTGAAGAGAGCGCTTTGCTGTGGGAGCAATCCATAGCAATGCACAAGCGCTACTTGTGCGGCCCGAGGCTCCTCACAGAGCTGACGGGCACTGCTCGCAGGTTCACTGTGGGCAAGCATCCCGAATGGCTCTCCTTCAATGGAGGCGTGCAGCGGCTTCTGACGTACCTGAGGTCAAACTTGGGCCTTCCACAGATGCCTGAACTGACGGATCATTTGAGCCGTTACTTCCGGCAGTCCAGGCGCAAGAAGGGAGAGACCATGAATGAGTACGTCACTAGAAAGTCAGAACTGTATGCAAGAGCTCGACAAGGACTCCACAGGGTGATGTCGCACTATGAGAAAAAGAAGCCAGCGTGGGAGAAGAGCTACGGCGGCTATAGCCGTCCGGGGTCCACCGACCCTTGGGCCAACTACAGGAGAGCACCCTCCCTGGCTGGCAGTCAGAACCTGAGTGCTGAGGAGATTCAGGATGATCGGGAAGCGCTTGCTCGACCTGATGATCAAGCTGAGGCCACCGAGGATGCCATTGAGGAGCGAAGCTCCACTGGTCCAGGTCCTTCAGGAGATTCCTGGAGTTATCCGGACTGGTGGTCAAATGACTGGTGGAGTACCTCTTGGACACCTTCCGAGAATGCCGACTGGAATGTGGAAGCCCCTGAACTACTGCCAGAGTATGTTCAGGGCTGGTACCTCTTGTTTGATTCTGGCCTGGACACCAACGAGCGCAACATGATCGTGGCAGCCCTGAAGGGCGACTTCACTATGACCCGAGTGGCACAGGAGCTACGCAGCCAGTGGACCGATGAGGACCTGCGTCGTCGAGATGCAGCCAATCGTCACTCCAGCTGGTGGGTGGATGAGAATGAAGAGGCCGAGTCTGAGGACTATGACACTGCCTGGGTTGCCCAGGCTCACCGCAACTTCAATGACGAGGGCCTCGCACTCCTGGGTGAAGCTGAAGATGTGGCTCAAGAAGCCCTAGCCATGATGGAGCGCGGGCGTCGCACCTTGAAAGAGGCCAGACAGAAGCAACATCAGGTGAGGATGTCCCGGAAGTACTACCGCACCAACTTCAAGCCCTCTGGAAGCACCTCGGCTGTAGCTTCTGGCACAGATCAAAAGTGCTTCCGATGTGGTGGTCCTCACAAGACTTCATCATGTCCAAAGGCAATGGCAACAACGACAGCCTCTTCAGCCGAAGAACAGGCTGCACCCTTTATCTGTTTTGCACAAGACCAGGCCACCAAGGACCATGAGATTGTGGAGCCCTATGTCCCGGACGACCTCGAGGTGAACTACCTGGATGCTGGGTTCTCCGATGCTTGCCCAGAGGCCTTCTTTGATGTTGCCGACACCAACAGCATAGGGCCTATCTCCACTCAGATGGCCGTCGAACAAGGCAAGGCTGTCGTTGATGGAGGGGCTACAAAGACCCTTGGTAGCGTGGTGGCCCTCGAGAAGATCATTGCCCTCAACCAGTGCAAGCATGGGACTTCTCGTTTGGCCGATCTTGACTTGGCGAACAAGCCTACGTTTGGTTTTGGAAATTCATCAAAGAACCAGTGCGTGTCCACAGCCTCACTCGAGGTTCAAGCAGATGGCAGACCTGGACAAGTACAAGTACATGCGTTGGATGCGGGAGCAGGACCTGTGCTGTTCTCCATTGAGTCCTTACGGGCCTTGGGAGCAATCATCGACTTCTCTGAGGACATGGTCGTCTTCCGCAAGATCAACCCGTCCAAGATCATCAAGATGGAACGTTCGGCCACCGGCCATCAGCTGCTGCCCATGACTCAGGATTGGTACAGTGATGCTCAGAGCACTGCACAGCCAGTGCCGAGCCTGAATGCTTTCCTGTAGGGACAACTCCTTTCTTTCCGTGCGCCTGAGATGGAAAGGAAGGTCAGTAGCGATGTTTCAGGCACTTTTCACAACCCCTTGAACATGGTTGGTGATCCTAGCATTCATGATGATGTTGGGTGTGTTGTTCATGACCATGTGGTTGTTGATGATGAAAAACTTTCCCAGGGTTTCCATGGACATGTTGGAAAAATCTCAGACAGCAGTCAGTGTACAGAGCCAGAACAACCTCCTCCTGCAGCTCTCCAGCACAAGCTAGACGAGATCCCCAACGAGTCAGTGAACAAGAGCCATGCCTCGTGCCACCAGAAAGGAATTGGTGGAAGAGCTCCTGATGACCTTTGGCGAAACAGCTCCAAAACAGTGGAGCATCATGGAGATCGAGAGTCGCCTCTTGGAACTCAAGGAAGCCAACGGGATGGTCACCCAGAAAGGGAAGGTACGGCCACCGATGCGCCATGCCATGATCGAACTGAACAAGGCCAGCAAGAAGAAGGCCGACCTGGTGGACTACGTGAACAACAAGCTCATGGTGAAGACCCGCGGCACCAAGACCATTCAGGAGCTGCAGCGCTTGGGCACCAAGAAGATCTACCAGACCACAGCCGCCTCTCCGGAGGATCCTGTGGGGTTCGGGGAACACTGCAGTCTGCAGTACCACGAGCTTCTAGCCCAACACCCACAGTATGCCAGCTGGGTCGTGAAGACCGCCACCGAGGGGGAATGCGACTACCGCCTGGCCCGTCTGGCCAATTGGCTCCAGAGCCCAGAGGCACAGCATCCGATGCCGACCTACAAGCAGACCTCCAGCGGCTACAAGAACACATCGACGCCGGCCAGCGGCTCGAATGGCAAGACCGAGAACATGATGATGCAGATGATGCAGATGATGCACGCCCTCAAGGAGGACGTGGACAATCTGAAAGCCGAGAGGCCTCACAAGAAGGTCGAAGCATCCAGTGTCTCCGAGATGACAGAGTCATCAACAGGTTCTTTTGTGCCGATCCCACAGTAGCTTCAGCTGAGAGCGTGGAAAACTTTAATTTGTCACAGGCGGGAATGCAGGTCGACAGTGAGCTCTGGAGGGGCTCATGGGAAGCCTTACCTGAGCAAAAAGTAAGACACTTGTCCCATTGCAGTGACAGATTGATTTCGAATGCCTTCGAGGCCCTGCTATCACACCAGCGCATAGAGCTGCTGGAAGTGGCATGTTCGGCCGACAGCGTGCTGTCTCGCACCATGCAACAAAAGAAAGGTGACGAGGGTGCGGCCCGACGCTGCTCACTTTTCAATGAGTATGATCTAGGAACCAACCAGGGGATTCACAAAGTCATTCAAGATATTGACCATTATAAACCAAAACATGTTTGGCTTTCTCCGGTTTGTGGACCTTTTTCAGTGATGCAAAACATCAATCAGAGAAGTGAAGCTCAGAAGGAGGCCCTTTCTGAGAAGCGCAAAGCTGCCATGAAACAGTATGTCGGTTGCAGTGTCACTTGGGAATGGTCACAATCATGTCAGGCATGGAGGCTTCCAATGATGCAGGAACTGGTGAAGAAACACAATCCATGGTTTGCTGTGGTACGGGGTTGTCGTGTTGGTCTTGTTGATGATGAGAAAAACCCAATTTCAAAAGGTTGGAAACTCATGACCACTCATGCTTTGTTGGCAAAAAGGATGAACATGCCATGTAGTTGTGGGCCTCGCCAGAAACATGTGAAGTGCGAGGGTTCCCTTACCAACAAAACTGCCTATTACACCCCCGAATTTGCCCGAAGGGTCTGTGATGCGTTGATTCATGGAGCGGAAGATGAAGACCTCAAAAGGGAGTTTGTGGGAGACCACCAAATTGGGGAAACTTTTGGTAATGGGATCAGTTGCAGTTGTCACCACATTCATGATTCTCAACATGGTTTTGTTTGCGGTTCATGTGTTCATGATGAGCATGAAAGAATCAGGGGAACCAATCATGTGGAAGTGTGACAGTAAGGGGGACCACGAAGTTCTGGTTGGGGAAGATAACCAAAAAAGGGGTCAGGGTTTGACTATTGAAGAAATAAGAAAACGACTGTACCTCTTGCATGCTGCCACTGGCCACGGGCCAACCAGACACCTGGTGCAAGCCCTGCGACGCAGGGGAGTGTCAGAGGATGTGCTCAGGGAAGCTGAACGTTTTGAGTGTTCAGTTTGTAAGGAACGGGGTAGACCGAAGCCACGGCCGTTAGCCACCTTGGAGCCTCACCCCCCAAAATGGGCGTCTGTGTCAGGGGATATTGGGCACTGGGAACACCCACAAACTAAGGAGTCCTATCAATTTTTGATGTTCGTGGACGAGGGATGCCGTTTTCGTGTTGGAAAAATTGTTCTTACGGGGAAAAGAAGTCACCTTACTGCCAATCAGTTTGTTGAAACGTTTGGGGAACATTGGGTTCAGTATTTTGGTTTTCCTAATCAGCTCAGGGTTGATCCGGATGGTAGCTTCAGGAGTCATGTGGTTCAAGAATACTGTGATAGGCACCAAATAATGTTGGACATTATTCCGGGTGAAGCTCACTGGAAGGTGGGCATTTGTGAACAGGCTATTCAGGGTACCAAGACTCTCATGAACAAAATAGCTGAAGATGACCCAGAAGTCACCGCAGCAGAAGCTTTGGCTGAAGCCACTAGGACCTTTAATAGCCGAGAACTGATCCGAGGCTATTCGCCCATCCAACATGCCCTTGGCTGTGCGCCTGATGCTACCGGGCGACTTTTCCCTTGCGGCCCCAGTGAATGTCCAGAGCTGCTGGTAGAGAACGCCTCTGGCGAGATGGATCGCCAGCTCCAGCGAATGCAAAGTGCGGAAAAGGCCTTCCTAGAATGGACGGCAAGCCAGAGACTCCAAAAAGCCAAGAACTCAAAACCCAGAGATGTCACCAACTATGAGCCAGGAGACCTAGTGTATGTGTGGAGAAAGCAAGTGAGCGGCCAAGCAGCCATTAAAGGTGGCTCGTTTGTGGGGCCAGCCCGCATCCTGGCGGTGGAGCAACATCGCTCTCCCGACGGGACCCACAAGCAGGGCAGCTCAATTTGGTGCGTCAGAGGGAGAAGACTTCTCAAGTGCTCCCCAGAGCAACTACGTCGAGCCTCCGAGCGGGAGGTCCTCTTAGAAGAACTCCATGCCAAGCAATATGATGACTGGGACTTTGATAGAGTAGCCCAACAACTTGGAGGGAACGAGTTTCTGGATGTGTCCACCGAAGTACCTTCTTATGCAGAATGGCTACGAGCTCAAGATCCAGTCCAAGAATGGCAACCAATGAGACGATGTGCAAGAAAACGAGGCCCCATGGTAGATGAGATGAGTGGCATGGGACCGGCTCCTTCAACATCCAGGCCAACAGGGCGATCCAGGAGTCCAACTTCCAGGCCTACGCCTTCTACATCTTCAGGGGCACCCGTGTCACAGAGGCCTCGAATGAGCGCCCAGCAAGGCATGGCTGCTGCCCGACCATGGTGGAACCAGTCAAGTGTCCAGGAAGTGTTTGCAGCCACCGAGTGCACCTTCTGGATGGATGAGACCGCGGCCGTGGCCGTGGAGGTTCCCATGCCAGACACACGTGCTGGATCTGAACGAGCTCTTCGAGATCTCCCTTCTTACTTTGCCAGTAGCTTGAAGAAACGGTCAGCAGTTGAAGTCTGTGAGCGTCACCTATCTGAGGAAGAGCGACAACAGTTCCGATCTGCAAAGGCCGTGGAAGTGAGTAACTTCATAGCTGCCAAGGCTTTTGAAGCCCTTCCAGAGAAACTTCGCCCAGCACGCGAACAAGCAGTGAAGATGCGTTGGATACTGACATGGAAGCAGAAGGAGGATGGCAGCCGAAAGGCAAAAGCCAGAGCCGTTCTTTTAGGATACCAAGATCCCTGCTATGAACAGAGAGCAACGACTTCTCCAACCACGACTCGCCAGACCAGGCAACTGCAGATGCAATTAGCCGCTTCATGTCGCCACAAGATGCGAAAAGGTGATGTGACAGGTGCTTTCCTGCAAAGCAGGCCATACCCTGATGACCTTTTTTGTATACCATGCCCAGAGATCTGTGAAAAGATGGGACTCCCAGCAGAGTCAATCACAAAAGTGAAGAAAGCCTGCTATGGCTTAGTTGATGCGCCACTGGAATGGTATCGTTCCATTTCAGATTTCTTTGCAAAACTTGGATTGCAAAAATGCTGGAGTGACGCATGCTGCTGGGTTTATGTGGTTGATGGGGTTACAAAAGGGATTATTTCTGGCCATGTTGATGATTTCCTTTTTAGTGGGGATGAAACGCATGAGGGTTGGTGTACTGTTCTCAAGAGTATCCAAACGGAATATAAATGGGGAGATTGGGAAGAAAAAAGGTTTACCCAATGCGGAGTTCAAGTGGAACAACATGAAGATTTTTCTTTTTCGTTGTCACAATCGAAGTATGTTGGAGACTTGAAATATATCAACCTGAGAGCCTTCAGAAAGAAAGACCGAAATGCACCCACTGAGGAGTCTGAGAAAACACAACTTCGGGCCTTGCTGGGAGGGGTCTCATGGCACGCACAACAAGTAGCGCCACACTTCAGTGCTGAAGTCGGCTTGCTGTTGTCAGAGGTGAACAAGAGTACTACCGAGACCATTTACAAGGCTAACAGGTTACTTGATAAGGTCAAAGATATGAAAGAACACTGCATGAAGGTACATGCCATAGAGCCACACATGTTGTCACTGTTTGCATGGGTAGATGCCGCCTCTCAGAACCGTGTAGATGGCTCAAGCACACAAGGCATTATAGTTGGAATTTCATCTCACCGGTTGCGTCATGGCAGTTGTGAGCCAGTCACCTTTGTCGCCTGGCATTCGCAGAAGATTGGCAGAATCTGCCGCAGCCCCGGAGCAGCAGAAGCAGCAGCAGCAAACAACGGAGAAGATCTCCTCTTTTTTGCGAGATTCCAACTGGCAGAAATGATGGGAGCTCAAGTCAATGTGAGAGACATCAACAGTGTCGTCAACCAGATCAGTGGATGCCTGGTTACGGACTCCAGGAATGTGTACGACAAGTTAGAGACCGAGGTCTTGTCCGTAAAGGGCGCTGAGAAGAGAACAGACCTGGAGTTACTCTCCTTGAAATCTGCCCAGATTCGCAATGCTGTGGAGATTAGGTGGGTTCATAGTGAAGCCCAGCTATCAAATGGACTGACCAAGAGCAACGAGCACAAGCAACTGCACCTGTTCTACCGCATGGGCCACAAGTGGCGCATAGTCGAAGATGAAGAAAGAGCGTCAGCTCGGAAAAGGAAACTGCTAGGCCTGGAGCCTCTTGAAAACAGAAAGAGTCAAGGGCCAGAAATCAAGCCTGAGACACCATGGAAACCCACGGAATGATTTTTCGTCTTGTTTGGTTTTTGTTCTTTTGTCTTGGTTTTGGTTTTTGGAGAAAATGTTCAAGGGGTAGCATCACCATCTCATAAGGAGAAAGAAGATGCGGGGGGCATGCTGTTTTTACCACAGCACTCATAGGCGTTGACATGCCTATTCCGTGAAGTATTGGCTGAAAAGAGCCGCGGAGCGAGATTCATGAGGCGTTGATCACCCCTCCTTGTCCAATCGATTCCAGTGACTCTTCATATCCTACTTGAGCACTTCTACCGCTTGCATATATTATATGTATCTATGATACATATACAAATACAATCGGGGATTTTTTGTGGGATAACATAATGTTCACATTTGAATTTTGTATATATATATATATACATACATATGTACTGTATATATCATTGCAATATGCCAGGTTTGTTCCCCCCACTGTTTCACCCCGCCCCAGGACCCCCAAGGGGCCCCCCAAGGGGCCCCACCTCCCATGGAGCGACCCAGCAAGTAGACACCACCGGGCCACGGCCAGGGCAGCTGATGTTGACCCAAAAAAATTGGTAAGGCATCGACCTGGCCATGGGAGTTGATGATTGGGGTTGAGGAACCAAGAAAGATATCTCATAATTCTAGTCATTTTGGATAGATGATTAAATACATATAATATATTGTATTATATTTTATTATATTATATATTATATTATACTATATTATGTGAAAGTTTATTAAATTATATTATATTATATTATATTATATTGTGTATATATATATGTATATTATATATTATATATATATAATATCATATTATATATATACAATATCATATTATATATATATATATTATATTATATATATATATTGTTATATTGTATACATATATATTGTATTATATATATTATATTATATTATTCATATATATATATTAAATATTGTATATTAAATATTACTATATACTATATATTAATATATATTATATATTACAAAATGATATATTATATATTATATATTATTATATACTATATTTTATATATTACAAAATAATATATTACATATTACATATTATATTTTATATTATATATATATGACTTGGTGATTTTGGTGCTAAATAAGCTTCTTCAAAAAAGTGAGATTACCAGCCTATGTCGCATAACATTGCTTACGCTAGGTCTTACGCTACGCTTACGCGACCACAGTTTTGACTTACGCAGCTTACGCTGACAGGTACGACTTAAAACGCATAGGAACTGCTTGCGCCAGAGGCATGAAACAGCTTGTGCCAGGGCTTACGCATGGTATTTCGCACAAGTGGCTTATGCCACCTTACGAAACCCAGATTACGCGACCAAGTCATATGACACAACTGTTCTTAGAGTGTATTCAAAGGGTTTCTTATATTGCTCAAATGAATGTTGGTAAATATATTCGATATAAACTATTCTATTTAATTCGCGACCTTGACATAAGATGAAATAAGGCTCTTCGGTAACATTCCAATGACGTAGGTACCTGAGATCGTCATTAGTCCATGATCTCAAAACCGTAGTCACTAAAATTGGCATCCAATGTATATCATAAATATATATATATTCATATATTATTAACGGTATATAATATATTATAACCCCTAATCGTATGTTATGAATGGTATATCATAATCCATTGATGTCAATTGGGGATAGGAAATCACCATCCGACAGGTGAGGGACTTGGAAAAACGTCCCGCCCTATCAGTTTCAAATCCGTGCCACGACCGACAAAACAAAAGATGTTTAGCTGAGTAGTCTCTTCCTCCGCAATCATAGCATAAATATTTGTATGGGTATATATGGATATGGATATATATATATTATATTATATTATATTATATTATATTATATTATATATATATTATTATATTATATATATATTATTATATTATATATATATATATATTATTATGGGTATGTAGTATGTATGGGTCAAAATGTGATACCCGATACCCTAAATGGGATGATGTGCGATCCTGAAGAGTGACTATGACAAATTCGGCGTCCCCTGGGACTTAAATTTTGACAACTAAAAAGGCAGAAAATGAAGCCACTAATCATCAGTAATCACTAACCTATTCAACCATTTTGTTATTGCAAACCTTCAGAAATCTAGAATTGCAATAGCTTGCAATAACTTGCTAAGCATGGATTTTGCTATTGTTGTTACCTAAAACCGGAGGATATAGCGTTCCCATCACCTTCGGCGACTGGACGATGCTTCAGCCAGAGCGGCCACTCGCTCACCATCCGTCGCGATGGTCGCCAAGGAGGGGCGCCCTGTGGAGTAGCCGTAGCCGCGAAAATCGGCGACCTCAGGAGACGTGTCTTTCGCTGTGTAATCTGTGTGTTTCACCAAGGAATATGCCGTATTTAAGCAGCAAGTTTTGGATGTCACTGATGTCACTAACAATCAATGGACGGGGCTCTCAGTTTTGGGCAAACTCAGATTATTTCCAGCTTCATGTTCAAAATATGTTTGATTGGATTTTATTTCCCATAGTTTGATGGAAATTCCAAGAGTTGTTTGAGCCCAAACGTAACACAATTTCCTCAACAAAAGATTGGAGTTGATGAACCAAGAATGAGATCATTTGCCAGCAATACTTTGGGTTTCATGTTTGAAGTTGATGAGACAATTCACCAACAAGATCCAAGAAGTACCTACAAATTCTGGATATGCATTATGGTGCTTTTACCCTCTGGTAATTTAACATAGCTATTGAAAATGGCCATTTATAGTGAGTTTTCCCATCAAAAATGGTGATTTTCCATAGCTACGTTAAATTTCCAGAGGGTAATTGCTGTTATCAATATATGCTGGCTTGACATGAAGATGATTCGGGACATAGAGGCCGGTTTGGTACATTATTCGTTAGCATCTACCTATAGCGGTTGTTGAATGGGCACCATGGAAAAAAATCAACATAAATCAACCAGTAGGAAAAGGACATCCATCTGGATAAATGATCATAATTAACCTGAAGCTGTTCAGACATTCTGAGATAGTTAATTACCCCTGCTAACCATATTATGATATCATGTGATCTCATCTGGTTGGTGGTTGAGCCACCCCTCTGAAAAATATGCTCGTCAGTTGGGATTATGAAATTCCCAATATATGGGAAGTCATAAAAGCCATGTTCCAAAGCACCAACCAGATATATTCTCCCATTACTTATTAACCATTAATAACCATTGTTAACCATTGATGTTGATAGGGGTATATCAGTGACATATCCTATATTATATGAAAATGTTGCTACATCAGTGCCACATCAGCCTTTGGTCAACGGGTCGGCTAAGGCCGGCGAAATCGCCAGGCGACCAGCGCGCTGACCTTGGACGCCTGCAGCGGATGGAAGACCTCGGGGTCCAGGTAGGTGTCGACCGTCTCAGCGTTGCCGTGGAAGTAGAGAACCAAAGGCCTCTGGCATTTGAACATTCGTTAAATAACTAGAGCTTTGATTCAATAAATAACTAGAGGTTTGGTTCTCAACTATTGTTATAGTGTCAAATATTTCGATATAGTGTCAACTATTCGAAATAAATATAGTTCCTAATAAAAAATATTGTCTTATTATTAAGAGGAACTATTGTTATATTCAACATAGTTTCGATTGGCCGGGTATGGTTGGGTTATCTATAATAGTTCAACCTAGTTCCTTTCAATATCATCCAAGACCATCAAATTCAGGGCTTGGTACATGTCCATTCATTCAGAATCACCCAACTATTGGGGATAGAATCTCCAACAAATGAGATGATGTTCAAGATCCCAACCCTGTTGAATCATCAAAAGTTTTTCGATTTCACCTTGGGACCGCAGAAATGTGTTCGAAAAAAGGGTGGATGTGTGTTTGGACAGAGAGGAAAGGACATAACATATGCTGGTTGTCTGTTGTAACCAAGGCAACCCGCAACACACATTAACAAACAATCGTGCAAACAGGTCAATTAAAGCGGGTTCAAAGTAGAAATGGAACATATGGACATTGGTTCCATATGTTTGAAATCTTCATCAACTTTTTGTCCCCCATATGTTCCATGGTATATTTAACCTACCTGACAATCGCGTACCTGTTCACTCGGAGATTGCCTGGAAACTTCAGGATGATCATCTCGAACTTGCAGCAGGAGGCGAATACCTTGGTGCAGCAGGACCTCCAGAAACCCTGAAAATTCTGGGAAAACACAAGGGGAAAAGAGATTTGATATGCTTTAAGATACATCTTACTATAGAACAGTATCAACCACAAATGGATAAAAATATGGAAAAGTGCTGCTGATACATGGTGATACAATGTGATACACCACATCTTTTCAAAAAATCGCAGTCACTTTGCATCTCACAAGTAAGTCACAGGAATAGAAAATTCATAAGGCGAAAAATGTGACTTTGTCCATGGCCCATGGCGAACTGGTGCACAAGCTCTGCCTTGAAATCATATTTGAGAACAAGTGAGATTAAAATTACCCTATGGATCTACTGTTGATTAACCTATGGATCTGGAAAAGCCATGAAAAGCTGAATTGAAGTTTCCCCTGGTTGAGACACCTTGATAAATGCTGGGAATTTTCATCAATTATCCATGTCAATTCATGAGTAAAACTCCATACTGTCACCGGTCCAAATACCCAGTGAAACTCCCTCCTCGATGGGTATCAAGCCATCAATTTGACGCACGCCTGCACGTTTTCTCGTAGGAAGGTGACGTGAAAGGCACAAATCTGGGATGGTGATGTTTAGACGAATCCGAAATATAAGCTGCAATCATATAGGATCATGAGCAAGGATCTTTTTGAGTGATTCCCGCCATCATTTCTCCATCATATGTGATCAATCAGATCATTAATAAATTTGTTCAGACAGATTGCCTGGTTTGCACCTCAACCATCCCATGCTCCACATACATCGAACATCATCGAACAGCCCGTCTTGAAGTAATTACTGAAAATGGAAAAGGAAACCACAAACAACGGATTCAAACGATTCAAACAATTGCGCCGAAAAAATGCACATAAAAATATACGGATTCAACAAATCTAAACGTGTTTTTTCTAAAAACAAAACATTATTCAAGGGAGGGGGGATGCCTACAGTATGCAGATTTGCATTGACAAGTGCCAGTTTTGCGTGTAACACCGGGCCAACGTACTACCAGGCCGAAGGTCCCAAACTGTTTTAAGAATCAACTATTGTCCGTCATAGCTAGGTGCCAACACGTGTCACCACAAATTCATCATTTGACCCATCTTCATAAGCAGATGCGAATGAAATGCCCAGTACATCTCATTGAATGAAACTCCGAGTACATCCCATTTTTGTTGATTCTGTTTTGGATATTGTAGAATGATATGGGGCAAAGTATTTCAAAATTGAAATGGTGTAGGGAAAAGTATCTCAAAATTGGGTAGCCAAACAAATTTGGAAGCTGCTTTCCGGAATCCAACATCAATTTTCAACTTTACCCTTTTGGTTATTTAACATTATTTAGCCTAGCTATGGTTTATATGGTACATTTATAAATGATTTCATGGTTTTTTCCCGATAAAAAACTGGTGATTTCCGATTTTCCAGACAGGTTCCATCTTCCGATCCGCCCACCTGGCATCACTTCATCCACCGGAACTCCCTCGAACAAGGCTGGTGACGGGGAGAAGCGACCCGGCGAGTCGTTGGCTTGCCAGGCTTCCACCAACTGTTGAGCTTCAGCCAACTGCCTCAGTGGCATGAATGCTTTTCTTTTGAATGGAAGTGGAAACATAAGTTTGGTTATTGCTGCCAACTTAATTACAATGTTATTTTTTGATGGTTGTCATTATAGGTTGCTAGTTCTTATTATATTACACACATTTGATCAGTTTAGCAATTAGTTGAGCTACAAATGCAATATCAATATCCATAAAGGTCATTATGTAAATATTATAAATGGTAGATCATATGGCCCACTTACAAATGCCTTAAGAACCCCAGTTAGGGATTTACTGTTTGACCATAACTGGGTGGCAAATATGAAGTCTCACTTGTTTAATCCACTCATAAATGAGATATATAGTGCTCCCGCATTGTGCTCCACACCCCTCCCAAAAAAACGCTCGAATTGTTCAATCCCCCCATATTGATGTTCTTTTCCCCCTCTCATAATTTTCTTGCGAGCAGAGGTCAAAACCCTTTTTCATTCCATGGTGCTAGCTGGTGTAGGAACGGAATTCCGAGTTGATGGATGGTAATCATCCCCAACACATTATTGGGTGGCACAATCCCGCTATCATCAACCAAGCATCATTTTTCAATTATAACAATCACATCCCATATGTTGAATGGTCAAAAATAATGCTTAAGCTCCATCATATATATATACATATTCTATATATATACATATTATGCATGTATGTATATATATATATATAGCTAAGTAACTTATCCCTCATGTTGAATTGTAGTTATCACCATCATTGGTGGATCCCCAAAAATCCGTCACGCCCCAGCTGCAGCTTCTTCGCCAACGTCAAGGCTTCCGGCCACCGTCCCAGCGCGATCTGCAACGCTAGCAGCTCCGACGACTCCTGACGGCACCCGGACAAAAGGCGCGGGCTGGGTCACGGTTGGTCCAACCGTTAAAATGGTGTTGACCAAGAAAAATGTGATTGTTACCACGAAAATTGTGAGTTTTACTAACCAAAATGTTGATTTAAACAATGAATAATGGCTTTGGTTGAGTCTGAAAATGGAATATACCGTACCAAAAAATGGCCATCTAAGAGGGAAAACACGATGATGATTTTTAAGCATCAATTTTCTTTCGGGAAACCCGTACGTTCAGACAAACCCATATGTTACCCTCTGGTAAACATACCAAAAACTATGGAAAATCAGCATTTTCAATGGGAAAATCCACGAACTAAATGGTCATTTTCAATAGCTATGTTAGTTTACCAGAGGGTACAAGAAAAAACAAATAACATTTATTCACTGACAAAGTCATGGTAGTTCAAACAATCACTTGTGAATTTACTAAGTACTATCTTTATAATACACAAATGTGCGTTTGACCAAAGAAAAGGAGGAATTGAACTAAACTGCCAAAATGAAATTTTGTCTGTTCACACACATAAAAATGTTTGGTTGTTGAATTGCCGTACATGTAGCCTTTGTTCAAATATGTGTTGCAGTCCAAGATTGGTCTTGACAATTTCATGCAACCTTCCACTTGCCAAACTGGACATTAGCCAATTTATTCACTTATTCTTATATTAACCAGATATAGTTTGACACATCTAGTTGAACCAATATAATTTGACAAACATTGACCTTATATTAACCATGTCTTCCCAAACAATAAAATCTGGTTATGTAGTGGTTTCAACCCATCTGAAAAATATGCTCGTCAGTTGGGATTATGAAACTCCCAATATATGGAAAGTCATGTTCCAAGCCATGTTCCAGTCACCACCAACCAGAAATTCATTAACCCCATTCCCATGACGGATCCATGGTGCTGGTATATATACTAACATAAAGGGGGTATATTGATGGGATCCATGGCACACCATATATAGCAGCACCGTTAGGATCCGTCATGGGATTGTATATTCTCCCATTATTAACCATGATTAACCATTATTAACCATTATTAACCATTATTAACCATTGATGTTGATAGGGCTACATCAGTGACATATCCTATATATATATATAAAAGCCATGTTCCAAACCACCAACCAGAAATTCATTAACCCCATTGTTTGACACCTCTTCCAACCTTCGCGCCTTCCATGTTTCCATTTCCAGCGCCATCTGCAGCCGTTGCCATCGCCACAGCAGCAGCGCCTTGGCGATGCCCTCGGCCGCCGCCAGCGCCGCGTTGGCCGCGGCCTCCGCGGCCTCCGGCGCCAGCGCCGCGCGCAGCAGCGAGGCGCTGAGGTCACGGGGACGGGCCAAGGAGAGGCCGGGGGGATTAGATCTGAGTCCTGGCGAACTTGGGAAATGGTTTGGGAAATGGTGGATAATATGATATAAGTTGCCAAATAACTTGGGAAATATCATAATCTATGATATGTATATATGATTATACATATATATATATATTATAGCGATATGCTATAGCAATATGTTATAGCAATATTATATAGCAATGTCATATTTGGAATGGCGATAGTAATAAGTACCATGTTTGTAGTAAAAAACGGATAATATATATGTAATATATATATATAATTATATATATACACAGTATATGAACGAAATTATAATATACTTAATACACACGCACACTTGGGATCACAATTTTGGGAAAAGTTATGGGGTCCATATATTTGGGTGGATACTGGTTGATAGAACTAACCAATTGGGGATAGATGTGACAAGAAAGCTTGTAAGTTGAAATCTTCGGCCATGTTTAGATGAGGTCAGAGTTACGGCTGTTGAGTCTGTTGAGGGTT